GTGGGTAAATATGGAAAGAGAAGAACTCTAGGTGTTTGAGAGCATAGAGAAAAGTGTGCAGAAAGTGAAGCTCAACTCCATTTTGTTATTATGTTTTTGGTGTAATCAGTTATACTCAGATGATATTGTCTCAATAATTGATGTTTTAGACTCAATTTAGCTATAGAGCAACAAGAATTGGGGCCACTTGTATATAAGGTTTCAGAACAACCCATTTACTGTTTTGTGATATAATAATAAGTTAACAAGTTTAAAAAAAAAAAAAAAAACTTCTTCCTATTTCTGGCCATGAAAACTGATACGGAATTCTGCTTTCATATAAAGGTTAAAGTAGCAAATTTTCATTGGTTGGTCACTTGTGAAGCTTATTCAGCCCAGCATAGTGAAGGGGGGTGGTCATTTGCACTTAAGCCCTAAAGCTAGGTGAAAAACACACTGGGCACTTTGCCTCGCCTAATCGTAGCTTTAGTGTAGTCACCAAAGTGATGTGGTGTACACTTCATTGCAAATAGGCGTTGTTCTAAAAAGTTGACACTAAACAACAAAAAATTCACTTAATTGTACTATTTGAATTTTATTTTTTTATTTTGATGACTGAGGTATCCGGGCCAGCTTTTGCACACCTTCGACTATTTGAATTTGTTTGTCGGTTATATATAATTGCTTTTTTCACTTAATTGTACTTTTTAAATTCATTTGTCCACATAATTGTTATTTATGGTCATAATTATTGTTCTTAAGTTTCATTTTTTATTTTTTATATATTTTTCTTCATTTGTGCCTTCCATTATTAAAATTTAAACCTCACGCTTAATTTGCACTTTCCGTTTAAAGCTGCAACAGACCTCATTGCTTTTTTGCATCTTTCACTTCTGATAACATTGCACCTAAATGAGAAAATGAGGGGAAAAAAAGGGGAAGGAAACACCTTCTGGTATCTTACCAACCAAAGACAGTAAATAGAGTAGATAAATTTTCTATTTTTCCAAAGCTAACATAGTTTAAATGCAAATGTACTCAGCAATCCTTTTTTTATATTAGTACACAAGCAGTATACAGAAGTAGAAAATCCACACAAAAGCATGATTCAACAAATAGTTCCAATCATCTGCACATCCACCAAGCAATTAAAATATATATAAAAAAGGTGTCATAAAGAAGTTACTAAATACATTCACTAAATTAACAACCACGGAATCAGGTAAATGGGGCAATTAATGGCTTTGAAGTTTCTCCTAACCTGAAAATGTGGGCTGTTAAGGCAACGAGCAACCTGACGAAAAAGAGGAACCATGCAGCGCTGAAATTCAGCAGCTTGTGTGGCTTCCAGAACTTCTTCAAGTTCCCCAAGAAAGAGAACTTCCTTTTGGCAATTAGTGACAGGCCAGTATTTCAACAAACCCCTTATAACTGTATCACACAACTTGTAATCCTTCTCCACAAACTGGACAATACAATACGACAATTGCTGATGATACATTGCAATTGGTTTTGGCTTGTGGAGCGGTATGAGAGCTCGAACAAGAAAAAGTTTATGTTCCTCTTTCATTGGCAACGCGAAACCATTTATAATACTCCCTAAGATCTCCAAAAGTTCCCCTATTCCACTGTGCCTCTCAGTCTCATATATAAACCTATAAAAGATATTATTAATTGCTTTCCTGATAAATGGCCTATGCACCATAAATTTCCCATATATCCGGTGAAGAATCGTTTTCAAATACTCTCTCTCCCTTGGGTCCTCAGACTCAAACGAATCCAATAACTTCAACACAAACGAATGATCAATAAACTTTTTAGCCACCTTTGTATCAGTATCTGCTGAAACTATATATCTCAATAACAACTCATATACCAACTGTAAATGCGGCCAAGACGCCTCGAGATACTGTTCTTCCTCTTCAGGTTCCACATTTTCTGACCCAGTATTCTCATGAGACGCCGGAGGCAAGCACCGGAATATATTAACAGATATCATTTTCAACATTTCTTCCTGATTAATTTCACTGATTTTCAAAGAATTAGATTGAACGCAATCCACAAGTTCTGCTAGTGTTTGTCGTTTGATCTCTTTTTCCCTAACCATTTTCATAGTATCATTGAAATCAAATTGGTAGCAACAAACCTGAAGTTTCCTAAAGAAAAAACTCTGCCGTTCAGCCATTGGCACGTCCTTCAACATTGGAAGTGCCTCAATTGTTCCCGGCGCTGGAACTGCTGCTGACATCATTGTCTGCTGCTGCGTCGAATTGTTCATCATTCCAAAACCAGCACCAGCACCGGCACCTCTAGAAGCATGATTCACTACCACATTGGATGTTGAAACCGACCCGGAACTCCGATTACCTGACGCAGCAACCACGAAATCCGAAGGATCCGATTTCGGCACCTTTTTGTGCCCTCGCTTAATAATTTTATTCAACATTCTTCTCTTTTTCTCTCCTCCAATCAATACAAAATCAAAAAAACAAAAACCTAACCCTAAATTCTTACGTTTATTAGCATTTATCAAACATTAAAAACCAAAACAGATTCTCCTCCTTATGTACAAAAATTAAAATTGAGATCAGCAATAATTACGAACACTTGATTCTCGCAATGTGTCAATTTTCAAATGCGGATCTATTGAACGAATCGTAGAGAGAGGAGAAACTGAACAGGTAGATAGGAGGGATGATCCATGATTGTCCGGCAGGGAGGACGGTGATCGGAAAGCGATTTTCCGGCGAACAATCAGAGAAAATGGAGGGAGAGATATGTAAATAGAGAGAATTAAGAGATGGGAAAATGGAAAATAGCAGTAGTGAGAGAGAGAAAGTGACCAAAGTAGGGATGATTTAAAATAGAGGGACTGTTAATGGAAAATATTATTTTTTTCTTTCATTTTATTCCTTTCTTGTGCATAATTTATTTTAAAAATAAAATCCCATCAAAATTTTATTGATTCTAAAATTGGAAATAATAACTCTAATAATCACCATCAAGGGTTGTGTTAGAATAGAGAGAATCTTTCCGTCTTTTACAAAAGGTCTCGATTATGAGTATAAAAGATAGTTTGATACTTATCTCGTGTTAATTGAATTCAGGAAAAGGCTATAATAGAAAAAAATGGGTTCCGGTTTCCTCCTTCGCATGACTTATACGACGTGAATCTGATTTAGTCAAGGTCGAGGCACCATATAGGTGTGTGTAGTATAAAGATGGAAGAAACTCCTCAACAATTAACTAGAAATTTTGAGTTTGAGTCATAAAATAAAGAAACAATTGATATGGAACATTTCCCCCTTTAATGAGCTCTACGCAACGCGTATATAAATTAGTCGAATCCTAAAGCGGAGTGTCAAATACTTCATGAAAAACTTTGAAAAAAAATTACAATAAGCATCTGAAGTTGGTGAAATTCCTCAATTCTTAAATAGAGGTCTCAGATTTAAAGTTGAAGAATTGAGGAACCTCTACTAAAAAAATTCTCTTTTTAATAAACTTTGCAAAATACAAATTTGAATGAGTCGAATAAATAATTTTGAATACCAAATAGATATACAAAAGATAATTATTAACAAGATAAAGAAGAAAGAGCACTTGTGAGTTGAAACAAAAGCAACAAGAAAAAGTAGTAGATACCAACCTACTTTGTGGTTTAGATGGAACTACACCAAATGAACTACCAACCCAACAAATACATGACAAATATTAAGTGGTGATATGGTGTCAAAGAGGGCAAAAAAGTTTACTCTTGTAATCATATATATCCTTTACCCTTTTATATATGCAAATTTTATATTTTATATGAATTAGTTTTGAATATTTTTTTGAAATATTGTTTCAAAATACTTTTATTTTTTGAAATTGTGATAATTTTGAAGTGCAAGAATTGATGCTTCTAACTTTTGTGAAGTGATTTACATATGTATAAATTATACATAAAAAATACCATTTGTCACAAATATATAATTATACATATTTTGAAATATTATAGTGAACTAAAACTTATTTAACCCTCTAAAAATTAATAGTATTATGTTTTTTAAGATAGGTGGAGTAAAAAAAGATTAAGAAGTACTAAATTTGAGAAAAACTACTTCACTTATTATTTTAGTATTAGTCGTCTGTTTCACAATGAAATTGGTTGCCATAGAAAGAGCACGAAGCACTAGTGCTACAAGGTCAATTTATATATACATATCTATATATTAAAAAATACTTTTTTGTGGGTAATGCAAGAGTTGACACACCAATGATAAGCCTTTACTTGTAGGTCAAGTATCCAATTTTATCGCGCATTCAAAGATGTTGCCTAACCATCGATAAATTTGGATGAAAATCATAAAAGACCCAGATTCAAATCTCAGTATCGATGAAAAAACATCTAGTGAGTTTCTCTCATCAACCTAAGCCTTAATAAGCACGTGAATCGATGCATTTGCTAGTAGGAGGTCATGTCTAGGTGCACAAATTATCTAATACTTGTATTAGTAGAAAATAACACATATTATGTGAATTTAGTCATAATGCACATGAGCTAATCAAAACACCACGACTGCGATAAAATTAAAAAAAGGTGTTACCTCCGACCGAACCAAGAAGAGAACTTAGGTGACCACAAGCTAGCCTGATGATATCAAAGAACGTGAAACTAAACACAAACAAATAAATAAATGGAGTTAATTTAGTAAACCAGAAATATCAGAAGGCAAACCCGAATACCAAAGGGTCATTTGGCACACGGGATGAGATTAGCAAAGATATCGTATGAATTAGAGAGGGTAATGTGTTCTCAAACCTTACCCCCTACCTTGAAAAGGTACAAATGTTTTTCCGATAGACCCTTAGCTCGAGCAAAGCATATCAAAGAGTGAACCAGTTTTTATGCACTCAAGGTAAAGGAAACAGTTTCTCAAGCAAAATTAAACAAAAGTGGTAATATTGTCATTCAGAAGGGTCTATAATGACCCTTAGATGAAAACTCATTCCAATGTGTTGTACTCTGCACATTAGGGTAAACTCGAGATAGTTTTTTACTAACATAGTATGTTATAAAATAACATCTGAACATTAGTCTAAGGGGAAAATTTGGGAAGAAACCAAGAAAAAATAAAAAATTATACAAATGGAATATCATATCCAGATTTTTACACCAGAAGCATCGATAGCAAGTCGTGTCATGTCAATATTGAGGATTTAAAATCAGCAAATGATGGTTTCCAATCCAGACCCCAAGTAAACATTTGTGCTGCAGACTTCGTTCAATGAGGTTTAAAAAAAAACTTCATGTTATGGACACTGCAACCTTCAAGTGCTGTATTTCAGAGTCACTTCGTTGATCTGAACGGGAGTTTTGGGTCGATAATGGTCATCAGTATCTACCTCTTCAATTTCCTGAGTGGCCATATTAAACCATGTAACATTAAAGGAGACCAAAAGAACGATAGAAGAAAGAAATTTCATTACAAAAATTGTAAATGAAATAAGCAACCAAATTCGAATTTGCATATTTAGTTTTTTGTTCTTCATTTTACCCCATTCTTAGCTCCATTTTTACATTGCATCGATGTTGTACTTATAGTTGTGTTATACTTTGGATTAATTTCATATGGTTATTCTTTTTATTGCTTGAGCTGGATGATGAAATAATGTTGTGCATCCAGGACAAGGTGGGAGTGGCCTTTGTGGTTGACAAGATGAGAGAAACGAAACTGAGATGGTTTGGACATGTGAAGAGGAGATGAGCAAATGCCCTAGTAAGGAGGTGGGATAGATTGGTAGGGGTGGGTTTAAAGAGGGATAGATTGGTAGGGGTGGTTTAAAGAGGGGTCGAGGTAGGCCGAAGAAGTATTGAGGAGAGGTGATTAGACAAGATATGACCCAACTCCAACTTACCGAGGACATGACTTTAGATAGGAGGATATGGAGGTCGCGAATTAGGTAGAGAAGGCAGTTGAGGGTTGTCTCGATATCCTGCAGGGTAGGCTTGGTCGTAAGATAGTATTAGCAGTATTCTCGTAGTTTCCTGTTCTTAGATTACTGGTACCACCTGTTGTTTCTTGTGCTTCGTTTATCACGTTATTCTGCTTTGTATGATCTGTTACACTTCCTCTATTATTTGCTATGCCTTGTAATCTTATTTGGTATGCCTTATTATACTACTATCATCTTATTTGTTATGTCCTGTTCTACCTCTGTATTGTCCCTTTCAAACTGCCTTGTTATGTGTTACTTGAGCCGAGGGTCTTTCACAAACAACCTCTCTGTCTCCACGAGGAAGGGGTAACGTCTGCATACACTCTACCCTCCCCAGATCCCACTTGTGGAAATACACTGGATATGTTGTTGTTATCCACACTGTTCAGGACTTGGATTACTATTAAATGCTAAATGATATGGGAAGGCAGTGAAATATCAAATGCTCATCTGCATTGTCTTCTATGCAACAACTGATACAAAAAAGGAGGAGGTAACTAGTACCTGCACGATATCCTCTCCCTTTATTACACGCCCAAATACATTGATCTTGTCATTCAGATCTGGAATTGGTGCAGTTGTTATAAACAGATCAAATCCTTCGCCTTCATGATTTGTTTTTGAAGTACCAAGCATAAATGCTTCATGCTTCAGGCTGAATATAGAGAACTGTAACTTAGTGATCAATGAAAACAACTGTATATCAAGACTACTGTTTAGACCAAAAAACAACAAATAAGATTAACCAAACCTCGTGTCTAGTCGACTGTAATGCTTTCCCCTCGAAGTCCAATCTTCTGTACCTTCAGGTTTATCAACTTTACTACCATGGATTACAAAGTGCTTTATTACACGATTAAATCGCATCCCTTTGAAGTGGCCCTTCTGACTGCAAAGGCATTTTATAGAGTTAATGCATATGACAAGCATTTACAGTATAACCACAAATGCAGAGAACTTGGTTCACAGAGCCTCTTTATGCAACTACTATGATACTAAATTAAGCAACATGTATCATTGCCAGCTGGCCTCAAAGTGTCAACTGCATGACTTATACATTGTGAACTCTAGCAAATTAGCATGATACATCTCCACCGGCACATTTCCTAGATTCTGGTTCTACTTCTACATGATGTCATGCTTTAGTATTCATTTATTGATCACTGTGAGACTGAAATTACCAGTCATAGAATAAAGGTTCTCTTTCGGATAACAAAGAAGATGAACTACTTCTTAAGAAGAGAACTTTTTAATAAGCCCTCATCTGGAGATCAAAGTTTGAAGACTTGGGGTTCATATAAATGGTGGGGTGATCAAGAAATAAGCTTTATATCATTTTGTAAAGATATGACATCTAGGCCAAACTCAACCCTAAAAGTTAGCTCATGAGGGGGGATTACCCAAGTCCATATAAGTAGACCATCAATTCATTACCCAACCAATGTGGGACTCTAACTCACCCTAACACCTTTCATCAGCATGAATCTCAAAACCAACATCAACATATGCTTCTAGACACTCCCCACCCCACCCCCAAAGTATCGACCACTGTAGAGTGAAGAAAAAATTTAAGGTAACACGAATACAAATGCAGCACATCATTTCAATGAAACATTGCCATAGACATAAACCAAAAATAATGAAGTACGCACCAGAAATCAACAAATTCGTCAACAATGTCAGGAGAACCATCCTTGTAAAGTTCCACAATTATCAATCCTTTTGAGGTGGTTATGGACTGTAAAAGTTTAAAAGAGTTAAGAAAGGGAAAAGAATCAAGCAGAGCCAAACAACAAAATGGGGTACCGAATTATCCAATCGTACCCAATATACACAAACGAATAGAACTTGTAAAAACAAACAAAACAGTAGTAAACAGTCATTTGCCTCCATTTACAGAAGTCCCAAAAAGGACATTTTTCTCATAAAATGACTCGTTAATACTTGGAAGCTAATCATATGCTGTGGGAAGAGCTGGGAAGAGCACGTGCTCGAAGTAGGAAGAAGGAAACTAGAAAAGGATACTTGAAGCAGATCCCTAGCATTACTTCTGTATACAAAGTTCTGATATTCTATAAGAACCAGTATTAAAATACTTGTTTCTTTTAACAAAACTGAGATTGAAATCACTCATGCGACCACTTCCATATAAAATGCAGAAGCAATTTTCTGTACTCACAGCATATGTAGGGCCATTGACATCAGATCTCTTATGCTCAATAAACGTATTTTTACCCTGCATCATGCAAACAGAAATATGCATTAAGCACAGAAGAAGAATAACCAAGAATTTCATCTGCATCTGTCCCCTATTCTTGTTCAAGCCCAGATGATCTCGTAGTGAGGATTGCAGTGTTATCAAAAGAAAAAAAATGCAATATAGTAGTAATATCCGTAGGGCCTTTAGCGCAAATAAAGTGCAGGATGTAATGAAAAAAGGTGCAAAGGGAGAAAATACAACTATATATGTTTAAGTCTAAGACTAATAATTATAAGCATGAATGACAAATATATGAACAAAGAAAAATTTGAAAAGAATTATGATAAAGAGAAATATCAATTGTTCTTCAAAAGAGGCTGATGACAAGAAAGTTCACATAAAGCAACATGAAACGCTGAACACACTTTGACCCTCGCTTCAGGGCTTAAGCGTGCTTTTGACAACACTGGTTGATTGTGAAATCAGTTCAGGAAGATGGAAGTCCCAAAAAGTCTAAATATGGTGTGGGTGTGGGGGGTTACAGGTCCACCATCACTATGAGTCGGGAAACCAATCCCTCCTACAAGTCAAGAATTATGAAATTCTCACAACAGCAAGGTCTACTCGAAAAGAATTCCGTTCATTGAAACTTTTAACTGTGACAAAAGCAATTTATACAGTGGCAAGTATCTCATCTCAGACCATCACAAGCTACAAATAAATCAATCCCGTATTTTTCTAAATGGACAAAACAATTTATCATCAAGCAAGAATTGAAATTGCAGTTATTCATACCTCAGTGGTTGACAAGTCATACTGTGTCTGAATCATTGACCTAGAAGAAAATTATTAAGTGTAAGGTCAGTGAACATTCATATAGCCAGCCAGACCCAATTCGCTTGGGATTGAGGCTAAGTTGTTGTTGTTATAATGTACTTTAAAATGATCGATAGACTTGCAGTATCCCATAAATTAATTAAAAAATTACATGTGCATTTTATGAAGATTTTCCATATGAAGAGTTACTTTTGACTTGCTAAAAAATTACATGTGCATTGTTGTTACTTTTGACTTTCCTGAATATATATGAATGCATGAACCATTAAGAAATAAGAGCTACATTTAACAAGTGTCAAATTAAGGCAACGACCATTAATACCCAGGGCGTTTGTAAAAACAGCAGAATGCCTTGGAGATATAAATTTTAGCTTGCAGTCAAGAGCTGAAAAATTGATCACTTCTTAAAGAAATGAACTACTAGAGACTAAAGTTTTGCTCTTGTAGAATCACATTCATAAAATTTTGAATGTTCCCTTTGGTGTAAAGTTCACAAACTCTTGGTTTAGTTGCCACGAAACCCACACAATTCCTTGCTATCAGTACCCAAAAACAAGCGCAAAACCTTTACACATCCAACTGCCGATTTATGTTCTCTACTATACTGTAGTTAAGCCCATGCTAAATAACATAAACACAACTGAAGTTCAATGTCAGACTCAAATATGGATGACAACACAAGAATACAGAAGTTACAAATTTTCTTCTTTTTAATTTTATTAATTTATCTTACTTTTTGATAAACGGAAATTTCGAATTTAAGGGTACATGATATCGAATCACTTGTTTACATATACAATTTTTTTTATTCAATCCACCAAAAAAATAAAAATAACAAAAGAAAAAGAAAATATCAATAAGCAATCAAATAACGACCATAAATTTCATACATCATAACACCAAAAAGAGTAATTTCAAATAATTCAATATCATAATGAGTTTTTTAAGTAGCATATTTAGATCTGTCCATGACATGTTACTTGTCACAATTCATTTTTCGCCATTCAATATAAGCTAGAGTTGTCAGAAAACATACAGTGACTTATCCATTAATAATGAAACCAATATCAATGTGATCACTAACAGCAAACCATGTTCAACACTAGGAGCTGCAAACAGAGGGGATGAATTGGATATAGGTAGGTAGAATACGGATAAAATATCCGAGCCACCCATATTTCACACGGAGAACACAAGCTAAAAGTCAGAATAAGCTTAGACTCCCAAGAAAACGAGAATTCATAAAAAATACTCCCTCCATTTCAATTTTGTTTCTCTTACTTTCCTTTTTAGTTCGTTTAAAAAAGAATTGACTCTTTTCTTTTTTGGCAACTCTTTAACTTCAACTTTCCACATAACATGTTTAAGAGGACAAGATTAAAGGAAATTTGGGTAATTCTACCTATCTTCTATCTTTAGTGTAAGACCACAAAATCAAAAGTTTTCTTCACTTTCTTAAACTCTGTGCCAGTCAAAACCAAACACAATCAAATTGAAACAGAGGGAGCAACAAGCAGGCAAATGAGTATTGATAATATGGATATTCATATTATCCATTTTTAGTGGATAAAATCCATATTTGATCCATTTTTAAATGGCAGTTATCCAACCCATATCTAATGGATCGAATCAGATGGTTACTTGTTTATTAAAACCATTTTGCCAAGCCTAGTCAGAAGTAAAACACTATCAGAAAACCTTGGTGTCAGAATGAAAGAGAGCCTCATAGCTCATCAGCAGGAGCTGTTCTGCCATTAGAGTCTTGTCACTACAGATTCTTATAACATGGATATTTGCATAGTACCTTCAACCTCAAATGATCTAGATTTTCCTCTAGCCGTCACATGTTCTTAGAAAATGAAGAGACTTCAGGAGAGAAGGAGCGGGGATGGACAAACAGAGGCATCAATGAGAAGTTTTATTCAGAGAGGTGGTTCGGAAACATTGGGTGTTTAGGAAACTTAGACCAGTTGCACAGGTTTTCCTTCATTTCCACACATTCTTGGATTTCAAGGTAAACAGTTGACCTTGGGATGATAAAGATCAACTCTGACCAATTTACATAACAGGCCATTAACTCATCCATTCAAAACTCGTCTGTCTGTCAAGTTACAGAGATTATCTAAATCGATTCCATCATCTTGCATATGATCTTATAAGCAATAATTTCATTTATGTATGCAAGAGGAAAACATGTAAGCACTAATCCAAAAGGAGTTTGGTTTTGTTTTAAATTGCTACTTTATTATTATTATTTCTATTCTTATGTTGTGAAGATAATGAGCGCATTGGTGAAAATTTGGATCCTAGTACCAAGTACTTCTCAAGTATGGAGTACTGAAATATTAGGACCCAAACAACGCATTTATAAGGATTCACACAGACAACCCCAACTAGCTTGGGATTGAGACATAGGTGTTGTTATAGTATTTCTATCTTTATAATAATGGTAGCCGAATTAACTTGTGCACACCTTGACTATCACGCCAGATACCTGCATCCTCCTAATAGTACATGTTCGGCTAACTCTGTCAACCAAGATTTAGACATATGGCAATTAACTTTTAATTGAACCTTGCTCTGCCATGATCTTCAGACCCCTGAATGCACAACTCACCCCATCATTTGTAAATGTTGACACATCCTCCAATCCATCCACAAAAAGGACAAAATATCTTTTGAGTCATTTAGGTGTAATGTATGTTGGAGTTATTTTTGCATCATATGGGTTAAAAAGTAAAGAAGTTTGCTTTTTCTCCCTAAATGTGCTTTACTACTTTCATATAATTGTACCTATAATCCACCAGTTTTGAACTGTACGCCATTGATTCTCGGGGATTTCACAGTTACAAGAACAAAAAAATAGTTGTACCCACACAGGTTTATCTCTTTTTCAGCTTGTGCTCCATACGTAAAATCCAAACCAAAACTAAGCTCAACATATCAATGAACGGCTCAAAAATCACAAAATTTATACCCTACAAGCAACTAGAACAAGCATCTGAGATAGCTACAACAATACTAGTACGTACAAAGAAAGGATTTTGACAAACCTTCGAGACCAGTGTCTATAAGTAGCAAACAGGAAAAACACCATTACAGCAACGATTAAGCCATAAAGCATAATCGTAGGGACACTAATTCCACTTGGCCCCTTCTTCTTTTTGCTTTGCAGCAAAAGAGCTTGTGGTTTTATTTTCGCCATGAGTTCTGGGCTTTGCAGGTATAAATATCTGAATTTTCAAAAAAAACCAAGACCAAATTAAAACCCATTTTACCAAGCTAAACCAACAAAAACAATATAAACATTTCGAGAACAACCAAACGAAAATACAATTTGAATCTAAGATGTGTTCCCAGATAGCAAAGCTAAAATCAGATTCAAAAATCAACTTACTGGACCAAAATAAATTTTCTATCCCCATTTAATCCTTTAAAATTCTTATTCGTCTTCGCAAATTTATTGAATCACCAGCCATTCAAAATCCCATATTCAGATGCAAAAAAATCAACTACATACCCAGCGTAATCCCACAAAGCAGGGTCTAGGGAGGGTAAAAGTGCACGCAGACCTTACCCCCCCCCCCCTCCCTTGGAATAGCAAGACTATTTCCAATAGACCCTCAGCTCAAGGAAAAAAACAATCCAAAGCAGTATAGAGAAAGGAATAGCGGAAATGAAGTGGCAAAATACTATAGACAACCATCCCGAACAGTACTCATAACAAGATAATACGATAATCTATGAACAAAAAAGAAAAAAACAGATCGTAACCAAACTCAAAGGACAATAAACTATAAGATCAATACTACAAGCTGATACAGAAAAATCACATTTTTATATTTGCAATCAACTTGATAATTACATAAAAGAAAAAAAAAACCCAAAAATACTTGAACTTTATATTTCCTAAATTGAAGTTCCAAGCAAAATTCATCAACACAGTCTAACATATTAAAAAAAAAAAAAACTTTAAGCTCTTTCCATAAACATGGGATTTGCTTAAAACACTCCCTGAACCGATCTGAATCTATTTCTTTTCAAATTAACACATTAAAATTTCAGATTCTACTTAAATTTACAAAATCAAGACATTTATTTAACATATTGTACCTAAATTATGCGAAAAATAAACCCTAGCTACAATTACGATTCGATTTTTTAACAGAAAAATCAACTCAAATATGAAAATTTGAATTAAAATTGTTAGTCACCTGCGGAAAAATTGAATTGTTTTTCGTTGTTCTTCACTGTCGCTTCGTTGTCTACCGGTGGAGACAGAAGAGAAGAATATACACTTCAATTTTGTTTAATTTTCAAAACTTCACTTTAATAAATAGTGACTTAAATTAATTACTCAAGCCAAATGCCTAAAAATAAAAATTTATGACCTTTTTTTTTGTTTTCTATCCTATAGTATTTAATATCTATATTGATATCCAATTATATTCAATGCATTGTAAGGTCCATTTCTCGAGGTAGCATATGATTTTTTTTTTAATTTCCTAGAGCTGCTATGACTAAGAATATGTTTCATCAAATTTTTGAAAACGGCTTATTCTATAATAAGTATTCTTATCGAAATAATTTTTAGAAAAGAGAAAAAATATTGTGTTTGATCAATTATTTGGAACATATTTTTTCTAGTAACTGATAAATATATTGTGTGATATAAGAAGCTAGTTGCACTAAGGAAGCAACTACATAAGTGATAGGGGTATTGGGAGGTACCTTTAGTGGTCATCAAGAAGATTGGTGGAGAAGCCCAAGGTAAAGTGACAGGAAAGAAGGTTGCATATACCTAGTGGAGTTCATGGACGTGAAAGAGAGGCAAATGCTTAAAAAAATCGGCTCGCGACTTGGATCAAGTGAAGTGCATCGAGGATGAAGAAGACAAGATGTTGGTGGAAGAGACCTCCATTAAGCAAAGATAACAATCATATTTTCACAACTTTTAAACAGCGAAGGGGACAAAGACATTTTGTTGTGGAGATTAAACATGTTATTAGTAGGATATTGAGCAGGGAAAGAGTGATCTATCCCAATGAGATTTCAGTGAAATTTTGAAAGAGCACATATAAATCAGGTATAGAGTGGTTAACTGGATTGTTTAATATTATTTTAAAGACGTTTGAAATGTCTGACAAATGAAGGTGGAGTACAATAGTTCATTGTACAAGAGAAAGGATGATATCCATAATTGTAACAATACAAGAGTATCGAATTGTTAAGCCATATGATGAAGGTCTGGGAGAGAGTGGTGGAAATGAGGGTGAGGAGAGGGGTATCAATTTTTTAGAATCACTTTGGATTCACCTTGACGTCGGGATGATTGACTACTGAATCCATCTATCTTGTGCGAGACTGGTAGAGAAATATGAGAAAAAGAAGAGGGGCCTACTTATGATGTTCAATGACCTTAAAATGGCTTGTGACAAATTCTCAAGGAGATTTGGAGTATTTTCCAGTTGAGATAAGGTTGCATCTGGGATCAGTTCCTAGCCCTTTTTTATTTGTCTTGCTGGCGAATAAGTTGATGCGGTCTATTCAAAAGAAGATTCGATGGTGTATGTTATTTGCGGACAACATAGTAATCTCAAAGTACATGTTAGGTTGGAGATTCAGAGATAAACTTTAGGGCTCAAAAAGGTTAAGTTAAGCAAGACCAAAATAAAAATTTTGGAGTCTAAATTTAATGTTGTGTAGGATGAAGCAGATGTAGAAGTGAGGCTTGTCACAAAGACTATTCTCAAGAGAGAAAAATTTAAGTATCTTACGTCCGTAATCTAGGTAAGTCGAGACACTCACAATGTTGTCACACATCAGATTAAGGTGACATGGATGAAATGAAGGCTTGCCTCTGGAGTCCTATGTGATAATAAGGTACCACCTAAACTTAAGGGTGAGCCTTACAAAGTGATGGTTAAACTGTCCTTGTTATATGGGGTGGAGTGCACAGGGGTCAAAAATACACATATTCAGAAGTTACATGTTGTGGAGATGAGAATGTCAAAATGGATGTGTGGACATACTAGAAGCGACAAGATTACAAATAAATTTATATGAGAGAAGGTGTAAGTGATCTTTGTGACGGACAATATGAGAAAAACTAGACTGAGATTGTTTGAGCATGTAAAGAGGAGGTGTGCAGACCTCCGATGAGGAGATATGAGAGGTTGGTTGTAGGGGTACGCCAAGAAGTAAAGGTAGGCTAAAAAAATATAATTGAGAGGTGATTAAACATGACATGACATAACTTCATGTTATCTAGGACATGACTCTGATAGGAAGAAGTGGACGTCGCATATTAAGGTAGAAGGTTAGTAGGAGTAGAGTGTTGTCTTGTGTTGCTTTTGTTACCCATCGTCATATATTGTGTATGGTATTCCGATTAACACACTATTTTAATGTTGGTATTGTTTCTTTCTTGTAGGTTCTACATTGCTTTTCGTATTAATTGTTATACTTTCTTCATTATTTTCTTCCTCTTTTACTTGGGTTTGATACACTTGAGCTGATGATCTTTCGAAAATAACATGTCTACCTCCACGAGGTAGTGATAAGATATGCATACACTTTACCTTCCTCAAACCTCACTTAATGAGATTTCACTAAATATATATATTTTTTTTTTGTAACAACTGTAAAATATTACCATAACCACCAAAGAACAGATACAAATAAAAGAGCACCTATTTCTAAAACAGAGAATAGGCCTCTAACAAAACAAAATACCTAGTTACATAACAAATGTTGAATAAAATGTCTACATTTATTTGCTCTTTTAGAACTACTAAGTAAGTGTAATCTTTCACTGATTTCCTTCTTTATCTGTGTTACTGTCTCTTCCGTACACATATGTCTCTAAATCTCCTCCAATTCCTAGCACGCCAAGTGTGGTATATGATTGCTCGGCAGATAGCTGCGATGATCTCTTTTTTGAATTGCTTCCAACGATTTCCTTTTATGTTTTTCAGGACCTGTACAATACCAATATTATGCACTGGTACTTCTGTCCATTGGTGCATAGCTTGCCACACAGCTGATGTCTATTTGCAATCTTCAAAGAGATGAACATTAGTCTCCATTACTTTTTCCTCACATAAACAACCTGCAGTATCCTCCTCCTGAATCTGCAGTCTCAACTTTCTTTCCTGTGTGAGTAATCTTCCTTGAACTGCTAACCATGTCATGAATCTATGCTTTGGCATAGCCATTGACGTCCAGACTAGTTCAACAATATTCCATCTAGGCTTAGGACCCATGAGTGCTTGATAGCTCTTGGTAATAGAATACTTACCAGTTTGAATCAGCATATATCTTCTGTGATTGTACCAGCCCTGCATGTGTTCTTTGAGTGCATTAATTTTCCTCCAATACCAGCTACAATCAATAGAAGTTTTATGAGTCCATATTGACGTGTCATTCTTCATATATATGCCGTGAACCCATTTAACCCACAATGACTCTTTGTTAACTATAATTTGCCACAATAATTGGCCCACATATGCCTTATTTCAATTACTACAACCTTTAATATTCAAACCACCTTGTCTTTTTGGAAAACACACTTTATCACATGCAACCAATGCTACCTTCTTCTTATCAACACTGCTTCCCCATAGGAAATTTCTGGATATCTGATCCACTTTCTTGAGAATACTTTGGGGAAGGATGAATACTGCTCCCAAAAACTATGAATTGAGAACAGTACTGCATTAATCACTTGCAATCTCCCTGCATATGAAAGTTGTTTAGAGTATGTTATTTTTATTCTGTGAGTAATCTTGTCTATCAGGGACCAACACTCAATCTTCTTCCATTTCTTAGGTGATAAGGGGAGTCCTAGGTATTTAATTGGAAACACACCCTCTGAGAATCCAGTTCTGGCTAGAATTTGCGTTTTGACCCTCTCATCTACCCCAGCTAGGTACACATTAGATTTCTCCAAATTGGCCTCTAAACCAGTAGCAGCATTGAAGTGAGCTAATGTTTCCATCACTCTATTCACTGAGTCCACATTTCCTTTGCAAAAAAACATCAGATCATCAGCAAATATAAGGTGTGTGAGTTTCAGTTTCTTGCACATTGGGTGGTACTTGAAGTCTGGCAATTGACTCATTGTATGTAGTGTTCTAGACAGGTACTCCATCACAAGTACAAACAACAAAGGAGATATTGGATCTCCTTGCCTCAATCCTCTTCTACCTGCAAAAAACCCATGGCTTCCCCATTTACTTTGACTGAGAGCATGGTGGTTGTTACTCCCAACATAATCCACTTCACAAATTGTCCAGGAAACCCAAAATGAATAAGTACTTCCTCCAGGAATTCCCAGCTAACAATATCATATGCTTTCTTCAAGTCTATCTTCATAAGACATCTAGGAGATGCGTTCTTCCGATTGTAATGTCTCAATATATCATGGCAAATGAGTACATTATGCATCATTGATCTTCCTTGGACAAAAGTTGATTGGTTCTCTGCAACTATAAGACTAATAGCTGATTTCAACCTACTACAAATTAATTTTGATATGCACTTGTAAATGGCATTACAATAAGAGATAGGTCTGAATTGACTGGCAAATTCAGGCTTATCAATCTTGGGAATAAGTGCAATACTAGTTGAGTTAATCTGCCTCAGAATCTTGTTGTTCTGGAAAAATTCTAGCACTGCATTTGTAAGATCTTCTCCCACAATAGGCCAAGCTGATTTATAATATTGTTGTTGTTGTTGGAGTATCAAATTAAGGGGAAATGCAATATCAAAGCTCATTTTACAAGTAATTCGGAAAAAAATATATGAAGTAGTTAACGTAAAAAGTTGTTTAAAAACACCTCAAACTTTTTGATAAATATTTCAAATTTTGAAAAATTATGTATATGTTGTCCTATATAATGTTAGCTTTCGGTTTATTATCATTCATATATTGCTTAACTATAAAAAATAAAACATTACACCATCATCTAATGATGCAATACTTATGAAATTTTAGACTATAACTTAATATTTTTCAAAAGACTTTCAGTTTATTCAATAAGAATATTTAAATCATGGTTTGAAAGGTCTGAAAATAAGAGAAATAAAAGATGAACCACTTCCTAAGGAATTGTCCCAAAAAGTGATAAACGACAAGAGTTTCACATAATTACTATTACTATATTATAGAAGACTCTAGGATGACTACCAATGTGCCAATAAGATCACTACTAATGTCCAATATATTTATAAAATATATAAGTGGGCCCACCATCTTCCACTTAAATACTACATATTATATATTATTAATTACTATACTATAAATCACTACTAATATCCAATATATTTATCAAACTATATAAGTGGGGCCCATCACCTTCCACTTAAATACTACATATTATATATAAATTACTATACTATAAATGACTTAAATACTCCATATTATCTATTACAATAATTAACAATTATTTGACACTTTAAATTCTATCAATGCCATATAAATTAGGATAAAAAACCTAACATATAATATTTAAATATATTTAAAAATAATATAAGTAATACTATACATTACAATAATTAACAACTTAATTATTTAAAACTTATATAAAAAATTTAATTGACTCTCTAAATTCTATTGGTACCACATAAAATGGATTATATAATAAACATATATTGTTTGAAATTGACGAAAAAGAAACAATAAATTACAATAATTAATAAGAAAATAGTCCACTCCAAAAAATCTATCAATTAACAACATATATTGTTTGAAATTGACGAAAAAGAAACAATAAATCTATCAATTAACAAAATAAATCTCTCGACTCCAACAAATCTATCAATTAATGCCACATAAATTGGGACATGGCAAATAACATATATTATTAAAAAATTAGGTTCAAAATGTACTATAAAATACAATAATTAACAACTTAATATATTAAAGAGACATATAAAAAAGGGTTAATATTTGAAATTCTGCATCTGCCACATAAATTAGAACAAAGAGAGTAATAAATATTATTTTCAAAATTATGTTAAAAAAAAGTACTACAAATCACAATAAATTTAAAATATTTTTTAAATCATATAAAAATTTCAATAACTTCTCAAATTCCATAATATAACATAAATTTAAAAAAAAAGTGTTATAAATCATAATAAATAGTACAATATTTAAACTACTTTAAAAGCATTATAAATTGTAATAAATAATACAACAATTTAAATTACTTAAAATTTAACGACTTAAATTTCTTTTTTAAATGTATTAAAATTTTGGTTAATTGTCAAAACTTTACATGTGCCACATAAATTGGGACATGGACAGTCACACATATTTTTTTAAAAAAAATTACATTAAAAGTATTCTATCAATTAACAACATATATTGTTTGAAATTGACGAAAAAGAAACAATAAATTACAATAATTAACAAAATAAATCTCTCGACTCCAACAAATCTATCAATTAATGCCACATAAATTGGGACATGGCAAATAACATATATTATTAAAAAATTAGGTTCAAAATGTACTATAAAATACAATAATTAACAACTTAATATATTAAAGAGACATATAAAAAAGGGTTAATATTTGAAATTCTGCATCTGCCACATAAATTAGAACAAAGAGAGTAATAAATATTATTTTCAAAATTATGTTAAAAAAAAGTACTACAAATCACAATAAATTTAAAATATTTTTTAAATCATATAAAAATTTCAATAACTTCTCAAATTCCATAATATAACATAAATTTAAAAAAAAAGTGTTATAAATCATAATAAATAGTACAATATTTAAACTACTTTAAAAGCATTATAAATTGTAATAAATAATACAACAATTTAAATTACTTAAAATTTAACGACTTAAATTTCTTTTTTAAATGTATTAAAAGTTTGGTTAATTGTCAAAACTTTACATGTGCCACATAAATTGGGACATGGACAGTCACACATATTTTTAAAAAAAAAATTACATTAAAAGTATTCTATCAATTAACAACATATATTGTTTGAAATTGACGAAAAAGAAACTATAAATTACAATAATTAACAAAATAAATCTCTCGACTCCAACAAATCTATCAATTAATGCCACATAAATTGGGACATGGCAAATAACATATATTATTAAAAAAATTAGGTTCAAAATGTACTATAAAATACAATAATTAACAACTTAATATATTAAAGAGACATATAAAAAAATGGTTAATATTTGAAATTCTGCCTGTGCCACATAAATTAGAACAAACAGAGTAATAAATATTATTTTCAAAATTATGTTTAAAAAAATGTACTACAAATCACAATAGCTAACAATTTAAAATATTTTTAAAATCATATAAAAATTTCAATAACTTCTCAAATTCCATAATATGAAATAAATTAAAATAATAAAATAACATATATTGGGCCCCGTGCTAGCACGGGGTCCTATATCTAGTACTATTATAAGACATGAATATTAGATCTAACTTGAATTATAAAATTAACTCTAAAATAATGATTGTCAAAGATCTTATAAAAAAAAAATTCCATCCGTAAATAATATCAATGAAAACCCAAAAATTGCTAAATTAATGTCAATTTATCTTCTGAATATTACATATTTATTATAAATTGTTATGGATAATATAAAACAAGAAGAGAAAAGACCTAAAGTGACTACTGAAATTGTCTTGTATTTTAAAGAAAATATCTTAACTTTATGGAGGTCTATTACCCCCACAAAAGTATTGAAACCTTTGTAAAAAGATCATTTTGGCTCATTTTCTCATTATGAAGACGCGTGTGATGTTCACCCCTTTGACCATTTCAACTAAATTTAAATATTAAAAACAATGAGGATAATCCGACCTGAATCTTACCAAAAACACTTCCATTTCTTTTTTTCTTTTTTTTCAAATTCTCACTTCTTTTCCATTGAAATATGCTCACATCCTTTTTAAAGAAAATTGAAGTTGCATCTGCGTCTTTGTCTTTGTCTTCTTCATCAAATCAAGATTAGGATCACTCTTTCTTCCGAAAACGTTAAGAATATCTTGAGAAAATGTGTGTGGATTTAATTATTTTTTAGCAGTAAAAATAGACATTTACGCGCGTCATCTGCTTATTCACAAACATACTGAGAAAATGAGTCAAAATGGTCCTTTTACAAAGGTATTCATTCAATACTTTTGTAAGGTAATAGAATGCCCGCAAAGTTAAGATATCTCTTAGAAAATCCGAAACAACTTTAATGATGACTTTATGTCTTTTCTCAATAAAAAAATGCAAACTAGTTATTTAAGTGTATTCAAGTGTAACTTTATACTTTATTGATATCTCTTGCAGAATTACAAATACCATATATATACCGTGTATAATTTTATTGAAGGTTCCAAAATATTAATGGGGTGCATAATTCATATTCTAGTGTCTTCAAATGTATATATTTTTCAATCTTTTTCCTTTTTAAAAAAAATAAATTATTTAGAGAATATTAAAAAAAAAATTGAAATATATCCCAACAGAAAAACATGTGGCAGACTAAAATCATATTAGTGCCAACAAATAAGATCAATAAACTAATTAAGACCACAAACACAAGACAAAAAATCTTTCTTGATATATTTATTAATCATAATGGATCAGTCAATATTACATTTTTCCTATTATAATGAAAGTAGTTACTCAAATTCTTTTAAATATGTGTTTTTTTTCAATAATCACTTCAAGTAAATCTTATAATCATCATCTATCTCAAAATGGAGAAAAGAAACTACTACTCAATTTTGATTATTTTTGTATCACTCCTCTATTTGCCATTATTCTTGAATGCAACATTGGTCCATCATAATGAAAGTGGTAAGTTGTTTTATTTGTACCTCATCCTAAAAGCATACTCAAAATTTGAATGAGTTTGGATAATTTTATTTATCATCAAACTCATAATTTGATCATGTTACTGTTTTATAGTTTTAGATATGTATGTACATATTTAATAGATTTCTCGATCCATAATTTCATATACAAAATAAAAACTAAAGCTTAGATGAACTCATATCATATATTTTATACTCCTAAGACAGATTCAAGACAAGTTTTATTGGATTTGACCAATTCTATTATTTTCAGCTCAAACTATTGGTCAAATTCAAAAAGTCATTTTCTTTGTAAGACAAAGTATTTAATATGATAGTTTTATTATTTATGTTGGAAGATTTAATTCAAGTTGATGTAATGTTAGTAATTTATTTACTATTATTATCTTAAATCTTCTTATAAAAGAGCTATTTTTAGTGATATAAAGAGTTGATAATTTAATTTAAGGTTCTAAAATATTGCTGGTATTAACAAGTAGATAATCTTACTTTTTAAAAAATAATAATAATAATAATAAAAAAAATAAAAAAAAATAAAAAAATAATAAAATAAAATAAAATATATATATATATATATATATATAAGAAAATTGTATTTTTTTTACTTTCGTCGATAAATTTCACTATTGTCATAGGGAAAATATAATTATAAATTTACTAACAATTTTTTTATTGCTCAAAAGCTGCATATAGAGGCAATAAGTATTTTGGGATTTTTCCTTAAAGAGTTTTCAATCGTCCACTGTATATGTTGTCCCATGTATAGTAGGATAACGTTAGTCTCAGATTTAATATTTTTCAACTATAGAAAAAAATATATTATATGATTGTTTAATAATTCAGTAACTTACTAAAATTTTAGATTTTGATTTAATATTTATCATAAGATTTTTAATTTGTCCAATAAGGATATTTAGGTCCTGATCTAAAACATCTATAAATCGTAAGATAAATAAAGGAGGGGCCATTTACTAAAAAGTTACCCATGATTGATGAAAACTTCAGGTGACACAATATAAAACACCGTTGAATATTAATTCAATCCCATAACTAACTTTGAAATGAGAATTGTTCAAGAGTTATCCCTAAATAATATTGATTGAAATTCAATAACTCTAAAATTAATTTCAATTTTTACCTTTTAAATATCACATATTTATTATAATTAATGAGTAATATAAAACAAGAAATACTAACTAGAAATTTTGAGAGGAGAATGCAAAGTTCATCTTATTCTAGTATATCTTTAAGAGTAACTTTTTAATCTTTTTTATAATTTAATTTTTTTTTTAGAGGATGTTAAAAGAAATAATATCAATTTGGAATATATCCCAACTTTAGAAGAACACGTAGACTAATCTTAATTACATTATTATTATCAAATCAGTTCAATAAACTAATTAAAACCACAAGCACAACTAGGGGAATTGTCTAGATTTAATTTTACATCAAAGGTAAAATAATAATTCAAGCATATTAAGAAATTGTTTATGAAGATTGTGATTTTCTTAATTTAGTAAAACATTTATAAAAGATTTTATCTTCTTCTTCTTTTTGGAATGTTTGTTAATAATAATGGATAAAGTCAATATCCATATATTTTTTTCCTATTATTAGTGAAGTAGTTGCAAATATAATATTCCTTTAAATATGTGTTGTTTTTTTCACTTATCACTTCAAACAATTTTTCTAGTCATCATCTTTCTCAAAATGAAGAAACAAAGTTACAACTTAATTTTAATTATTTTTGGATCATTCCTCCATTTGTCTATATTTTTGAATGCAACAACATCCATTAGTCATCAAAAAAATGAAGGTGGTGGTAAGTAATATCATTCTTGTAACGATTAATCCAATTATGCTACTTTTAATATGTACATGTTTAGTCGATTTCTCAATTCATATACAAAATCAAAACCAAAGCTATTGAGTTTAGATGAACTCATCATATACGTTTTATCCTCTTCTTCCTACTTCCAGAGTTAATTCTAAAAGGGACTTTGTGCATGGATTCAATCGAATCTATTATTTTTATTTCAAACTATGGGGGTCAAATCCAAAAATAGTCACTTTTCAACCCATGTATAATTCATGGAGTTTCAATTTTCACGAGTGTGAAACTCTATGATATTGTCCTTTAATTTCAATAGTCAAATTTGAAACTCTAAGGCTATTTCAATTTTTCAAAAACATGCAAGAAATTGGCCAACGATGTTGTTTGTTTTATTAAACTCACTGACTCTAGATTCTGATTCGTCTGCTCTTCATATTCAAATGTTTCTTCTACTCTTTTTTTCTTCTTCTAATTTCCATTACTTGATGTATGTTGACACTAATTTGACCTTTTTGATGTGTAGAAATTGAGGATGAGGTGAAGTTTGATTATAGTGAAAGGAGTAAGAAAGGACCAAGTAAATGGGGAGATCTAAATAAAGAATGGGAAACTTGCAAGGATGGGAAAATGCAATCTCCAATTGATATTTCAAGTTGTAGAGTCAAAAATATGAGAAAATTGGGTCACATGAAACATTACAAGCCTACTAATTCTACTATAAGAAATCGAGGACATGATATTTCAGTAAGTATTTAATTTTTTATTAAAGATATTCACCATTTTTAGAATATTCTAATTGCTTTAATTGATTGATTTTAATTGTTACTTATTTCTTTCTTCTTTTACAAGTGATATCATGAAAAGATTCAATATTATTAGCAAATCAGTTATCATATTATTTCGTTGTTGTTACCGCTTCTTTTCTTTAAATGATATAGCTTTCCTTATTTATTGATATGTTTTTCAACTGTTAATATTAACTTTTTTTGTAAATATTTTGAGTTGTTGAAAATAACTTCTCTATCTCTTCAAGGGAGGGGTAAAGTTGGTTATACGTTATTGTTTATATATCCAGTCAGTGAATAAAATCTAAACTCTATGTAAAAAAGTTGGTGAGTACTTATTAGGCAGAACTAGCGCTTATTGACTACTAAAAAGTAGTCACTGTCTTGAAGTTTCAAATTTCAACCAAAAGTTTCATTTCAAGATTTTTGAAAAATCTATCATATGGGTGAAACATGACTATTTGTGAATTTTACTTATACTATTTGTGGATCGAAAAATGTTAAATTTTTGTGTCTTTTGATATATATTTAGATTTTCGTTTTCATCTTTTCGTCACAACAAGTTATATATAGGTCCATGGATTCATTAGATAACTACGAATAATTAATAACAAATCGAAAAAAATCAAATTAGTTACGATAAAATCTCAAATTTGAAATAATATGAATTAAATTCTGAATCCGTCTACTATCTTATGATTTTTAGTATAATTTATTTATTTATTTTTATATCTATGCAGTTGCATTGGCATGGGGATGCTGGATCAATTTTGATGAATGACACAAACTACCCTCTTATACAAATTCACTGGCATTCACCATCTGAACATACTATTAATGGTAGAAGGTACCAATAATATTTTACTCCCTCCATTTTAAATTATCTGTTGTTATTTTTAAAAATAATTATCTCAAATTATTTATTATTTTAGTCGTTCAAAATAATTTATTTATTTTTTTAAAAAATGAGGTAGGGAAAAGGGATTACAAGATGCAGGATCTAACTCTTACCACCAAAATGAAAGATCAGCTAGTCAACCAACTAATAAGTTACCACTTTTTTTAATTAATTATTTTATCCTTAATAATAATTAATAACACACATAAAAAAAATTAATTTTTTTTCACCAACTAATACTGTAAAATTATTCTCACATAACTTATAAGGTAATTACATATAAATATTGAAATAAATGTTAATTAATAACCTAATAAATATGATTGCCAAAAATATTTCCACCACAAATTAAACTACTACTTTGATAGGTACATCTATATATAAGGCAAGACTGATAAATGATAAGTAATATTTCACTGAATCCTTCTCTTTATTTATTTGCTTTCTTTGTATCTGATTTGATATATAATCTTTTTCAAGATCGATTTAATGTTTAAGAGAATATATTTTAAATTTAATATTACTTTATATGTTGGAGCAGTTTTTCTTTATGAGGGAACTTTTCAATACTTGATCCGTAAAATAAATTATAACTATTTATATCTTATAAATTATTCATTAAGAATAAAGATAAATTATTTTTAAATGTAAAAAAATTTATTTTTGTGACCTTTTTGTCTACTTTAATTATTTTTTGGTATGATTTGAATGATAGGTATGCCTTGGAATTGCATATGGTTCACCAGGAGCAGGTGAATAAAAAGATAGTTGTAAATGCTGTCCTTTACAAATTTGGCAAACCAGATCCATTTATTTTTATAGTAAGTGTTTTTTTAACTAAATCTATTTATTGTCAATAATAAATAAATTTATCGACGCAAATTTAATTTAGTTGAACCTAAAAAAAAGAGTATAAAGTACTCTGTGAGGATAAAAAGGGGATGAGAGTTTAAGTTTTTGCTAATATAATGACTGTACCTCAATTTCAAATAAATTAAGTTGGCTATATGAATTATCATTAATCATTCTCGGTTTAAATTAGTTTTAATTAAGCAAATATTATACAATGTTCTCGATTTAAATTAGACTTAATTAAGTAAATATTATACAAGTAATAATTTTTTATTACTAGTAGGAAAATTCATAGTGAAAAAAAAAAATCCTTTTGAAATAGTGGAAAACTTCCTTATTTTCTCTTTCTCTTACCGTTTCAATCAAATACCAGTGGAAATAACCTCTAAACATTTTTCAGTGAGTTTTTAATCGTGTTTATCGTTGCTCCAACACTCCCTTTCGATATATACTCAACTCTTATATTATTTTTGATGATTTTTTTTTTTGTGATTATTGATTATAGTTGAGGGGACATATATTATCCATGATAGATCAAGAAGGTGAAGAGAGGAGTTTGGGCATGATTAATCCAAAGTATATTACTAATAATATTTATAGAGAAAGTTACTATGAGTACAAGGGTTCACTCACTATTCCTCCTTGCACAGAAGGTGTTACTTGGCTAGTCAACAAGAAGGTAATTTTTTTAAAGAAAAATAAATCCAAAATTTAAATATTATTAAAATTTTTATGAGATTATTAGAACTAAATGATTAATTAAACATTATTTATTTTAGGTAGAAACTGTTTCAAGATTTCAAGTGAATTTGCTTAGAAAAGCTGTACATGATGTAAGTTCCCCTCTATTTTTTATTATTTCAGTTGTTTTAATTTATGCGTCTTATTTTTTTATTTTTTTAAATAATATTTTTATATATATTTTAATTCTAATATTTCACCTGACATGTTTAAAATCATAAATATTCAAATACATTTTAATAGATTATATTTAATATGAAACACAACATTCAAAGTTTTTTTTTTTTACTTTAAAAATTCTGTGTCAGATCAAATAATGAGATTATAAAATGAAATAAAGGAAATACCATTTTAAAAGTAGTTTTTCGAATATTTTGTATTGAATAAAAATGTTCTAGCTTGTATTGTTTTTTTAGTTTGATTTGGACTATATTTTATGTAAAACAATATTTATTATTATTGTTATTATTATTTCAGCATGCTGAAAGAAATGCAAGGCCAGTGCAACCACATAACAAGAGAAAAATTCAACTTTTATTCTCCAAGCACTAGAGCATGTCAGTGTCCACTACCTGCTTTGAGATCCGACTAGTTCAAATTCACATGGAAAAGTCTCATCTGGGAGTAAAACAGTTTCTATCAAAATCGTCTCTGGGACTACATTTTTCTTTTATAGAATTTTTGAAAGAATGTAGTAGAAAAAAGAACAAAGAAAAAAAATATGTATTCTATATTTGTACTAAATTTTTATCTGAATATTGATGGAAGACAGGATGAACAAAAACAACAATAGTTGTACTGACTAAGCCAGATTCATGTTGCGTAGAGCCTTCCTATCAAAAATTTTTCTATTCAGAGGGATCGAAACCAAGACCTCTGGATAAGAGAAATCACACTTTCAATTTGTTAATCAAGAAGAGTGTGTATGAGTGTCTCTCATTAAGCCTCAAAAATGGAAAACTCCTAGTAGAGAGAGCATTCCCTTAAGTAGACCTTACATGACGTCAATCCAGATTAGTCAGGCTAGTGAATTTCGAATACTAGGTAGATCAAAGAACAAAATCTACACTATTGTCAAGTTTAATTAAGTTTTGCACAAATACTGCTGATCAAAGTTCATTTTGGAATATCTTCTTGTATTCTACAGTACAAGATACGAGTTCAACAAAATTCAATAGTTTTCCTCCAGAACATATATTTGTGTTGAGGAGAATCCACTCAATACATATAACTAATCTATCTCGAAGCTAGAAAAGTAAAAAGGACTGTGAGATCAGAACTTATAAACTTAAAAATCCTAAATCCGTCTCTACATAAAGCAATAGAGAGAGAGAGATTACGTGAAAGAATAAGTAAGGAATGTTCGACAACTCCCTTGTTGCAAGTAATGACATGTAAATTCCTCCTCGGTGCTTTCTGAGGTAAACTCGTGGAAAATAATGAAAGTTATAATCATACCAATTGTTGCAGTCGTGACTCGTGGGCATTGATTTCATCGTTTATAATCAGGCAAATAGTAATTTGAAGAAAAAACCTGATCTAATGTCGCGATTAAGAACCTCATCTGATCATATCGGTAATATTAGAGCATGAACTGGACCCTCCTCTTGTCTGCCTTGTATTATAGGATTTGCAACTTGGACATTTATGTGCTACTATATGGAAGTTAACCTCAGATGTTTCCGCGCAGTCGTTGCAAAGAATCCAAACCTAAAATTCAACGAAATTCAAATGTAAGGTAAAAGGCGATCAAATTCATGTACGAAATTTCAAATGGATTGACAAACGTGTTTCTTACCTTCTTGTCCTGATACATTTCAGGCATAGCTGTTGACGCAACCTAGAATTAGAAAATAGATGAACTTGTCAGTTTGAAGAGAAGAGTCGGGAAAAAAAACGTCAATCAACTTAGTAACTACTCCCTCAGTTTCAATTTGTTTGTCTTACTGTCCTTTTTAGTCCGTTTAAGAAATAATCTTTCCTTTTTTGACAACTCTTTAGTTCTAACTTTCCACACGACACGTTTAAGACATTAAAGGTCATTTTGGTACATTCTACATATTTTTTAGCTTAAGATCAGAAGATCCAAATGCCATCTTTGTTTTCTTGAGCTCCGTGTCTAGTAAAAAACAAACAAATTGAAATAGAGGGAGTATGTAGTATGTACCTCCTGGTCCAGTTGTTCCCAGACTCGAGACATGTCACAGTATGATCTTGAGCAAACAGGACAAGAATACCTGCATGCACAAATTATTGGAACCGAGCACAATGCAACCAAAATCTATGTTGCTCAGATCATCCAAAAATGCATAGCTTTTGGAGGATCCGACAAACAACTAGCGATGTTTTTGAAGAGTCCGAGAAACATAGACCAAACGGGGAGAGGTGTTCTGTTATGGGATCATTAAGGAATTGATTGTTCATAGAAAATCATAACATGTCATGTACGTACTGGAAATGTTGTTCCATCTGCATGACACATTCCAGATGCATTGTGTGACCGCAAGGCAAGACGATGATGTTTTTTGTTGTATCAAAAATATACTGCATGAAGTTGAAAGAATCAAGAGTCGGAGTTAGGAATTTACTTAAGGGGGTACAAAATATTAAAAAAATCAACGCAAAAAGAAATTAAGGGGGTTCGAAATATACCATATATACATAAAAAAATAATTTTGATACGTCAAAAAATTACACTATATCTCATTCTGAAAAATATAGTGTAATTTTTTGACGTAACCCCCTTACGGTACCCTGGGTCCGTTTCAGGGTTATCGTCGGAATTCTGCCCTTACCTCAAAGCAAACAGGGCAATTGTGGTGCATCGCTCTTTCTATACATTTATGTGATTCCTTCATCGAATTTGTATAGCAGCATCCTGCAAAAGGAAGGATATTCCATAACTCTAACAAACTAAATACAACCTAATAAGTTATGATGCTCGAACTCTCCAAAAATGTTGCTGCACTGATGTCGGATAACACAAAAGTATAAAATTGCTCTACTCTTGGAGGATCCGACACACACCAACAACAATTTTAGAGAGTCCGAACAATATTGTTGATAAGAGCCTTTATTGCTGATTTAAGTTCTAATTCAAGGTTGAGCATCTCACTCACCACATGTGTCACAGTGAAAGAAGTTCTCCTCGCCACCCGTTCTGTTTTCGAATATTTTGGACCGTAAAATGATGAATAATATATTAGACACAACGTTACCAAACCAAAAATATACAATGGCATGTGAAGATGATGCAACTGATGTAAGTTTAACTGAAATGGTAGTATATTTTCGTTATTTTTATTATTTCCATATTTCTCATTCTTAGTTTTCTATTACTATTTGTTGTCTCTTATCCCTCGGTTTTATTACTATCATGTTGTTGTTACGGGTTATGTTTCCATAAGTGTTGTGTTTTTGCTTTCCTTGAGCCGAGTGTCTAATCGTAGACAACCTCTCCAGACCCCACTACTTGTGGGATTACACTAGGTATGTTGTTGTTGACACGGGTGTAACAACATTTTTGAAGATCCCGAGCAACATAGCTTATGTCTTTTTATGGCTGTAGTGCAGGTATAGAAAGTAAAGAGACACAAAAAATACTAAACTAGACTGAATCATTTCTAATCCATACCATCTATAATCAGTGGCGAATTTAGAGCCAAAAAATAGGGCACCCGCACCCGTGGTCTCTTTGTAAAATTAGATATTTTATATATATTTTTTCTAAAATTTGTATAATATTATATTCTGGCACCCGTACTACAAGAAGTCTAAATGATCCACATGGTTAAAAGTTGAGCTTTTGACATTGAGGATTAAGGATCAATTTCCACTTCAATATATTTTACTTGGTGCACCCATATTCGAAAAATCCTAGATTCGCCTCTGTCTATAATCAACCACAAGTAATCCTAATTACATATGAAACTCATCAACGGGACATTATTTAGCGTGCACTTAAAACGAAGTCCCTCCGTAAGAAAGGTTACCTTCAGCCCATTTTGTGACTACAGACCAGCATATGTTTCAGATGTCGTTGACTTTGTGTTTATACAAATATGGTGTAATTTAGGAAAATGCATTAGAGAACCGATAATGATGTACAGTATGAGAAAGATATTAACCTGCAGATTCCGCATTTATCACAGTGGTATTGATTCTTCGAGACTTAAAAATAGCAATCATCTTGTTAAAGCATAGTATAAATTTCAAGCAAACAGCATCGTAGACGAATTATTTAAAGAATTTTACATCATCATCGAAGAAGTTGCATTTTGAGCAAAAGTACTTCCCCATGCAAACCCCGCATTGGATGCATTTTTGTTGAACCTAAAGCACAATCAAGGACCAATCAAATTTAACATCAACTCAACATTTATAAAAACTTGAATTGAGTCGTTAACAATTGAGGAAACTCACATCCTGTTCAGTATTACACAAAGAGCAAATGACCTGAAAAACATATAGAGAAAGCATACTCAAATCAGTCAACATCAAAAGGTATGAACAAGAATCTTAATCAAATACAATGTGGAGCCATATAGACCGACATCCTTTGTCGGAAAATTGTATTGTGTATATAAAAAAATGTATTGTGTATATATGGCAACAGTTACTTTTTATACATATGCATCAAACTTGGACACCCTTAACCAAATTCTTGGTACTACGATCACACCATGACCACTCACACATTATATAATCACATATGTCTCAATTGCAAATGAAAGTGTCTGATACAAAGCATAAGTTTGTACGAAAGAAGAGATATGTCACGACCGAAAAATGGACGTGATGGCACTCGTCTTAACCCACCAAGACAAGTCAGCCTAAAACTCAACCATTACAATAAAATACGGAAATTTTTATAATAAACTCAAATATACCCCCAAAATCTGGTTGTCACGTGTACAAGCCTCTAAAGTATTACAATTGAATCAAAAGAAAAATACAAGTCTCATATGACATTGTTTCTAGAGTAGAACAAGATCATAAACAAGAGTAAGAAGGATCGCTGAGAAGACAAACAACTACCTCACAAATCTCCCAGAAGCCTTGGAAAAGAAGAGAATAACAAGTACCACAAAAAACCAGGCTCGTAACCTACAAAAATTTGTAGAAGCAAGGGGTGAGTACCAAACCACACGGTACTCAACAAGTAAACCTCTAAACACGAGCTAAGGGGATAGAATACGAGTACTCCTTACACCCCAACCGAACCTCCACAACTATAACATGCATAAAACCAGCTCAACCTGACAGTTCACAATTCAAACAACACATATCTCAACAACAACACTCTAACAATTACATATTCTCAACAACAAGCTCAATATTCACCAATCAAAGTTCCACAGAAAGACACTCACAAGATCAGCAAAACACGATATCAAGGTCAATAATGATAAATATGTGCAATGCAATGGAGTGCAATGTCAAGTATAGTGATGCATGTCTGACCTAGTGATACACACCCGCTTTTCTCAGTCCGGGACCCATGGGGGACATATCTGTCCATGCATCCATCGCGGCGCGCGATACGACCCTCGATAATAGTAACCATCGCGGCGCGCGATACGTCCCTCGAAATATAGTATCCGTCGCGGCGCGCGACACGTCCCTCGAAATATAGTATCCATCGCGGCGCGTGATACGTCCCTCGAAATGGTACATCCTCTTTATTTTCTTATTCTTTCTCAAGGCACATAACACTTGTCAGAACCATGTCTCAGAACAATGCAAATGACATGTTCACACAAACAATGAGGAGATGACCATTTTCATAACATTGCATAATTCACAACAAGACAATCAGGATACAACATCAACAATGATTTAACAAGCCTTTCAAACAATTCTCAACACATCACAAAAACAATTGATCACATTACTCTCAACCATATACCACAAGGAAATACACGAATTCCATACGCTTAACAAGGGTTTAGAAATCCACTTGCCTCAAATAATCAAACAATTACTCTGGGACTCGAGCCTTCTCCTTTCGTTAGGCTTCCAAATCAATGCAATCTATTCAAATAAATAAACCAATAAGTTTATGAAACTAACAACACCCACATCACTATACGTCTAACATTGACCCAAAAAAATCATAGAGCACGAATCTATGATTAAGTTCTTAACTTTTGATGCCAATTAACATGTCCACTCTTTCAACTTTTCTCCAAATTTTCTAGTCTAGGATTAAGTTCCAAATCCTTCAAATATCATAAATCTAATGATATTCATATAATATAATACACAAAATATTAATTGCTTATCTCAATATATATCAAAAAGTTAATTTGTTATATGATAATAAAACAAGAACTACTAACTACGAAAATCTAACTGGTTACGAAAATTCATGGCGAGACCATATGAGGTAAAATCACGAAATTCCTAAAACCTATCAATTCAGAGCAATGACTACATTATGCCATTAGAATAATCCCCTCAACCTTATTTTCAATTCAATTCCAACCAACTATACTGACAACCAATTTGTCCCTTTTCTATGTTTCCTTTTCTTTCTTTTATTTTAAAAACAATTTCCAATAATCTCATCCTCACACTAATATCACCTGCCGACATATTTATATATATCTAAATTTTACAAGGAATCGTAGTAGAGCTTACCTGATCCGCTCAATCTTTCGTACTTCTTTGTTTTTCTGCCGCACATCCAGGTTAGGTTTTGAGATAACTTATTAACCGTACTAACTTTAATTCATCTTATTAATATATGGGTCAAGTTATAAGGGTATTAATTAAATTATGGGCTTGACCCATTAATTACTAATTTTCAATAATTAATTATTAGATAAATACTTGCTACTCAAATAATCGCAATTATCGAATAGTTCAAATTTCCAAACCAACTTCACCGACCGATCAAAAGGGACCCGAGGCAACCATAGGGAGGTATAAAATTATAATTTTACGAAAATTCTAAAATTGACTTTACGGGTCATTACAAGATATTACATAAAGAAGATCAATTCAATAAATTAACTAGAAAAATGGTTCTTGAGTTCTTCGCGATCTGATAAACATCAGGTGATATATGAAATAGCTAGCTCCATTCTACAACAACTACGCCTCAATCTAAAGCAAGCTGGGATCGACTATATGAATCTCCATTCTCCATATCACACAGTTTAAGCTCATCTCAGTCCAGTATCATATAAAACAAAATCTATCATAAAAAACACTTGACTTCTCTATATTTTCCTACGGAGATGACAAAACTCATGTGGCTAAACAGATCTCCCAATAGAAAAATGTTCTACCTATTCACACAATCAAACTAAAATAGCTTCATTGAGAATTACACAGAACATAAAGCCTAAATCACCTGCCCTTTGTGTTCTTCTTTCCTTATCTAAATAAAGAGGATTGCCTATTTTAAGATGTGGTGGTTGGGATAGCTTTTGGAGGATCTGACACACACCCGGGTGTGATACTTTTGAAGAATCCGAACATCATAAATTTTTAGAACTCAAGCATAACTATAGAATCCTTATACAACAGAAGAGGGAAATTTTTTGAAAACTAACCCTTTTAATATCATGGCGAGGAATATCGTGTCGTTTGAGTGGATCAACATCTAAAGAATTCTGATCAAGAAATGAAAAAACTAAGATTAATTCTCACATAAAAAGAAGAAAAAAACCCAAAAAAAAATCAACTGAATATGAAAAAAGTTTCTACCTTTGAGTCATTATGGCAATGTCTGCAATCAAATATCTCATCACAACAAGGTGCTCTAATTTTGCATCTTCTTCTATAATGCGAGCACCTAAAGAAGAAAAAGGAAAGAAAGATTAACAAAATCATGAACATTAACTAGAATTATACAAAGAACGAAAACAAAGAATAAAATATGAGAAAATACCCATAATTTCCGGAACCCATTTCTGTCACAGATTCATAAGCAGCAAAAGAAAGAGTGGTTATATGTTCCTTCAAACTACATTCCATTTTCTTCACCAGTTCTACTGAATCAAGATTATTTTTTTCCAACGGATACTCAAAAATCCCTGAAATTCAACTAATCATGGTAAAATATACACAAATTCAAACATCAAAAAGTTTGAAACTGCACTAAAACTCATACCTTTAACTATAACAAAATACATATAAAAATCCCGACATCAAGAAAAGATTTGACTCTGAGCTAAAAATCAGACCTTTAACTATGGCAAACGATATACAAATTTAGACATACCTAGTGTGCGTACACAGACCTTACCTCTACCTCCACGAGGTAGAGAGGTTGTTTCTGAAAGACCCTCAGCTCAAGTAAGCATTTCGAAAAAAGAAAAATAAAGAAGTAAAGAGGGCATAGCAAATAATAGGGAAAGCATTACATAGCATTCATAAGACAAGGAACAATACAACAGATAATCACAGCAATCGCAGGACAAGAAACAACGAGAATAATGCTACTACTACTGGTATGAGCGGAGAAACATATAATGCGCACAAAACTAACACCAAGCCTATCTACTAACTACTAACCTTCTATCTTAATACGCGACCTCACATATACTACTATCTAAGGACATGTCCTCGATAAACTAAAGATGCATCATGTCATGTCTAACCACTTCTCTCCAATACTTTTTCTCCTCCTTACATGCCCGAATCATCTCAATCTCAATCTCGTTACTTCATCTTGTCGACCGCGAAAGTCACTCCCACCTTGTCCCGAATATCTTCATTCAATCTCTATCTCTCCATCAATTCTACTAAATCAAGAAATTTCTCCCAATGGGTACTCAAAATCCTTGTATTTCAACTAATTATGACAGAGTTTACAAGTCCATACATCAAAACTAATCTAAAAATCAAATCTTTAATTCTGAAAAAAATAAAATACACAAATTCACACCTCACAAAAACACTGAAACTGAGCTAAAAATAAGACCTTTAACTATGAAAAAATAAACTGAACTTCATTCTCTTCACCCAATTCTACTAAATCAACAAATTCCTTCCAATGGATACTGAACACCCCCCCCCCCCCCCCCCCCCTTGATTTTCAACCCAATTATGGCAAAATAACTACAAATTCAGACATCAAAAGATTGAAACTGAACGAAAAATCATATCTTTAATAATCACAAAAAAGACATACAAGTTCAGACAACAAGAAAAGATTGAAACTGAATCAGAAACCAGACATTTCATTATGATTCCAAGAAAAGATTGAAACTGAATCAGGACATTTCATTATGATTCCAAGAAAAGATTGAAACTGAACGAAAAATCATATCTTTAATAATCACCAAAAAGACATACAAGTTCAGACAACAAGAAAAGATTGAAACTGAATCAGAAACCAGACATTTCATTATGATTCCAAGAAAAGATTGAAACTGAATCAGAAACCAGACATTTCATTATGATTCCAAGAAAAGATTGAAATTGAATCAGGACATTTCATTATGATTCCAAGAAAAGATTGAAACTGAACTAAAAATCAAACCTTTAACTAAGAATAAAAAAAAAACTGACCTTTTGGGATTTTTTTTGTAGATAAGAACAAGAAACAAAAAGGGTTCAAACAATAATGCATAACACCTTTTTATTTTATTACAAGTTATTGAAGCCATAGTTCTTTACTTTTAGCTTTTTCTTTGCGTTTTGATTTGATTGATGACGAGGCGACACGCCAGCGTTTGCTGTATATTGATTACAAAATGCCGGCTCATTTTTTGAAAAGCTTTTGCCCGGTCGTTTGATTTGAAACAAATTATCTCATAATTAGTTATCGAGGTTAGTTATGCTGGGATAACTTATCCTATCATATATATGGAATAACTATCTCATCACTATGATATAAATAGTGGGATAAGTTATATCAAACATGACAACCAAACAAGATACAAAATTTTTATCTCATCGCTAATTTCCTATCGCATCACTATTTATTTTTATTACCACACCAAACGATCCCTTAAAGTATATAGAAGTAAGTCAAGTCAAGGATCCGTTTGAAACTAATAATTATTTTGAGTGTTGGTAGCGTCCAGATTATAGAGTTGAATCGTAACAAATGAGCTGTTCTTATGTTGTAATTTTACTATTTTTAGAAAAAACACTTTTTGAAATACTCTAAGTATAAAATAATTTAAGAAAAATATTTAGATAGAGTCCTCACTTAATTTTTTTTTTTAAAGAAATGAAGATAACTTAATCTTAAAGGTCTTAACAAATAAACCTTTAAAAGTTTAGAGAAAATAGGTTAGAGATTTTTAGTTTTACTTTAAGAAGGTATTAGAACTTAAAGTAGCTCCAAATCTGTGATTATCCGACAAAACTTTTTTGAGAAAATGATTAAGTATAGGAATCATTATTATTTTTTTTGGAAAAATTACCTAAATACACAACTTATTTTATCATATTTTCTAGAATTACCTACCATTTGAAAGAACTACAAAAATCCATACTCTCTTGTTCTCGAATACATCACTTTACGTTATGTATCGGGGCATACGTGATATACCGGGACATTTGAGTGATATATTTGTAATCGAGACGCTATGTATCGCGACGTTGAGCGTTGTATCCGAAATCGGAATGCGAAATATCAAGACGTTTTGAGATGTATTCAGATTCCGCCAAATATAAGGAATTTCTGTAATTTGAAAAGGAATAAATATATGGTGTAATTAGCTTTTAATACTATGGGATTTGTGTAAATTCCCTTCTTTTTTTTAAAGAATAAGATAAAAGGAAAGGAAACTTAACTAACCATTTGAAATAAATTGAAAGTAATTAAGGCTTTAACAAAATAAATTAAGTAAGAATTTATTTGAATAAAATAATAACTCGAAACAATTTAATCAATTAAAGATAACTGAAAACTTGATTAGGAATATTTGAGAATTGATGGTCTATCATTTGGAGATTTTAACTAAGTTAATTAAAATATTTAAAAGGGAAATTTTTCAAAATGTCAATATTTTAACATTTAATAGGACTCATTGTCAACACTTTCAATATTTAGTAAAAATGTCAAAATTTTAGTTTATTATGTATCTTATTTAAGTTTTTATTATTTGTTTTAATTTAAAGAATACAATTGTTAAATAACAGAAAAGAGAAATTTAGGGGAGAGAAAATTTTTAAAAAGAACAATTGCTTAAAAGTCTCATCAGTTACAAAAATTCAAAAAAAAATTACAGAGAACTCATACCACTTGTTCATCAAATTTCTAGTATCGATTTTTAAATTTTCATTGATAATACTCAATTTATGTTAAAATGAATTCAATTAAATCGCGTTTTTTTTTATATCCAACCACGGCTTCAATGAATCAGATTTTAGAGCCAAAATCGACTTTCGTAATGATCTAACTCCTCTAAAATTATGTGAAATTTCATATTCAACCACATTTGACATTGTCAATACAAAAGCTACTTAGGGATAAAGAAAGATCCAAGAAAAATTATGCAATCAAGGCATATTAAAACTCATAAATCATAAAAGCCTAGTGGAATCACACAAACTCAACAAGAAGTATATAATCACTAAGAACGAACATGTATTTCGAAATTCATGAGATAATAATAACCAATCAAATCTTTTTAGACTAAGATCTTACTAACTAGAGAATATATACACTTACATAATAATAATTAGAAAAAAATCACAAAACATAGTATAAAAATGTGTCACAATCAAAGCTTGCAGATTGTGATCCTAATAACGTGCATATTTCTTTTTGGATGACGAGACAACGTTTTACTAATGCACAAGTGAATACGGATTTAAATTTGGGTTTTGTGAACAAAGAATCGAAAAAAAGAAATATATCAGACGAAGAAGAAGAAGAAGAAAAAAAGAGAGAATCGGAGAAGAAGGTTGCAAAGAAAGAGAGGATGGAGAAGAAGGTTATAAAATTGTATTCATATTAATTTTTGTTTGTCAATTGTTTTTCTTTTACTCAACATTTATATTTTTATTAAGAATATTGTATTTTTTTTTTTAGTTTGTAGTCATTCTAGTAGGTATGTCAAAATTGATTTGTATTTCTTAAACATAGATGTATCATATTTCTTTCACAGTCAATTTGTATTTTTTTTAGAATATTGTATCATTCCTCAACAGATTGTATTATTTTCATTATGTATGCTATTGTTTTTCCAGAATCTTGTATCTTTCTTTAATCGTATTAATATGTAATGATTAGATTATATTGTGATACAATGAGTAATATTTTTGTAATACGAATAAAAGAAAAATATATTTGGCAGTTATTTAATACAATTTTGATCACTGGGATACAATTTTTAGTTTTCACTATGAAAGTAAAATACCAATTTTAATTTGAATGGTAAAGTGAGCACATAAAATACAAAAGTTGTTGATATACAATTATGATGAAAACATAAAAAAAAGTAATACAGACTTGTTGTCATTGAAATTGAGATTGAAATACGAAATGAGCACAATAAATACTCACATCAATTGAAATACAAAATTGACTTTGTTGGTATGTCATTATGATGAACACAAAAAAAGTACAAACTTTTCTGAATACAATGTGAGAGTTAAATACAAAATGATCACAGTAAAATACGTACCACAATATGATATTCAATTTTAGTTTGAATGGTAAAGTGAGCACATAAAATATAAAAGTTGTTGGTATACAATTATGATGAAAACATATTAAAAAAGAAATACAGACTTGTTGTAATTGAAAATTGAGATTGAAATACAAAATGAGGACAATAAATACTCACTTCAATTGAAATACAAATGTGACTTTGTTGGTATACCATTATGATGAATACAAAATAAAAAAAAAGTAGAATTTGTTTGTATATAAAGTGATATTGAAATACAAAATAAGCAAATTAAAATACGAAATTGTCGTCATTTTTGTTCTAAGTAGAAAATTGTTGATTAAGTTGGATACCTCTAGTAATTCTCTTAGATTCTGCCATTGGAGAGTGATTTAGAGTTTATCAAACCCAAAACGTGATTTCAACAACATACAACAATTTTGAACGATTTAAACAAAAATAAAATCATAAAACAAATCTTAAAAAATGGATAAGGATGCATACCTTAATAAAAGGGATTGTGTGAATATCTTTATAAAATATATTTTTCAATTTCTGGAAAAATAAAACAAAAAAGAAGGAAGAGAAAGAGGCGGGTTTTGAAATGGAGAAGAATTGGTAGATGAAAATATGTTGCAAAAAAAAAATAAAAGAAGAAGAAGAAGAAAATATGAAAGAGAGAAAATATTCCCTTTATTTTAAACATATGATAGAGGATTAATTGAAAAATGTGTAATTAAGGTGAGATAAAATAGAAAGTAAATTAGGATACACAATCTTTTCTAAAATAATGACATTTTGACATTTTTACTAATATTTATAAAGTATGGAGATTTTTACTAATTAAGTTAGATTTTTTGACTAATTTGCTAATTTTTCCTATTTAAAAAACTAGAGTTTAAATAACATTTGTGTGCCCAAGTCCGGTTTCCTTTTCACATGGACCAGCAACTTGGGCCTTACCCAGCAACTTGGGCCTTACTGTTGCTTTTTGACCCAATTTCTCCCTTTGTATATACCTGTTGTATATCAATGTATATGATATATATTAATCGCAACTTTTCTGCATATAGCCCTACATTTCAGCTTCCGAGACCTATATCAGCTTCCCTTTTCAAATTTTGACATCGATAGGGCTGACTCGAAAGGGGCGTTAAGGGGACAAAGAGGGAGTCCCGGTTGGACTCAAGATGAATAGTTCATACATAGAAAAAAAATAAGAATTAGTACTAAACCATACCACTAAAACCTTAAAACTAAAAAATATAAAAACAAACAAATCATAATCAAATGAAAGTACTTGTTTTTTAGTTATTTTAGTATTAATAAATGGGAATGAAATAGCAAATTTATCATTTATAGCATTAATGACATCAGCATGAGAAGAGAAATTAAACAGTAGTTTTTTTTTTTTTTTTTGATAAATTAAACAATGTTTATACTTGTTAATATAATTTTGAATATAGAGGTATAAATCATGAGAAAAGAAAATGTTTAAAAGTCTACAAATACCATATATTTATTATCACAAGTGAAGCTTCATATATGAGATGCAAACAATTATCTCGACAAATAAGACGAATACAAACATGTATAAATCAATAAATCTAGAAATAAAAATTACAAAGATAAAAGATAATAGTTAAATATTTTATTAATATAAAATATTAATTTAATATATTTCAAATAAATAAAATCAATCATACGCAAATGTGCGGGTAGTATACTAAATAATGAAAAGGGAATGAAAAGATCATTTATAATCCAAATATTAAGTATTCGTTTTGGGCTTCTGTTCGGTGTGGGTTGTTTTTAGTTTCTCTTCACCTGCGGTTGTGCATCAAAATTTAGCCAGTGAATATATGATGACGTAGGAATGACTCAATGCCTTAAAAAATGAGGTATCCATTTTAGGCCCGAAATTTGAGTGTCCTATTTTTTTTTAGTAATAATAGAATTATTATAAAAAAAAAA